GGCGGGTGGTGTAGCCGCCGCAATTTCCAAAACTGCCGTCGCACCAATTGAACGTGTGAAGCTGTTGCTGCAGGTACAGCACATTTCCAAGCAAATCCCTGAAGACCAGCGTTACAAGGGTAAGTTTCTCTATAAAACGGTCATATTCTGTTAATGATTTACTAGAAAAATAGCGAAATTTGCGGTGTTACACAGCGAAAAGGTTTCGAAGCGTTAGAGTCGGTAGTAAAACACTGTGGAGAACAAAAGAATGAAGTGGTTCGAAACATGTGACAGTTCGAAGCATTTCAGTCATGTCGGTGGTTCGAAAGTCCCAAGCGTTTCCGTTAAGCTGATCCGCAATGGGTAGAAGTCAAATTCCCGTTATGTAATGCCGCACCACGCTATATGTTACTAGTACGTCAGTAATTCTATGAATGTTCCAATATTTTACTTTACATAACAATGATGAACTTTCGGGTCTTACATAACTTTTGTAATATCGATTGAAAGCGAGAAGTCGTGCTTTTCTGACAAACCAGTGGGTCGATATTCGATGAGGCGACTCGTCTACCAGGGGGCAGCGTGTGGCTTTGCTCTTTGAACGGAACTTCGTATGCCGATCGATGAATGTGCCATTCAACATGGCCGACTTTTCTACTGCATAGTAGAAGCGTGGGTCGCCGAATTTTTATAACAGAAAAATGATATGATACCTTTCAAAGCATTCATTTTATCGGATTATATTCAATATATAACCGATTTATGGATAATAATCAACGTTTCGTTGAAAAAATGCAAAGAATATTAAGTTGCAAAAATTTTATCGCGAAATTTTATCGATAATCAATGTTATAACTATGCATTTCAAAGTTCTATAATCTATATTTCCAACATTTCTGTAAATTGTTATCAACTTTTTAAAATCCCTTCGTTAATATCTACGATATATGATTTCAGGAAGAATTGAAATTTCATGACCTTGAATGTATTTTATGCTAGTAACGGCAATCATAGCACGTTTCCGCAACTTCTTAAAACAATAATGTTTCATTATTATAATAAAAGTACACTTTCTTATTTAAAATTAAAAAATTATGAATAACTGTAGAATTTTATATTTGCCAATTATTACATAACAGTTTGCAATTTACTATATATAAAATAAAGTAAAATTTGTTAGCTTTATGTACAAGTCTGTATTAATTTTATCTAACTAAATATCAAGTTCTTTAAATTTTATTCAAATGATTAAGAAGTTTCTTTTATTTATTAGATATATCATTTTGTAGAATTTTATAAATTTGAGGCACTACAGTAGCCACTTATTTGGGATTAAAACAGATTCTAATTGAATAAATAGCTGCAGTTTTCTTCATTTATTTAGAACAGATAACTTTGATTCTATGCATCTATAAAAAGATGGCAAATAAGGTGTCACATGGCAAAAGTCTTCACACACATGTTACTGTATGATTTTTTGTGAAATTTTTTAGGACTTCGAGGAAGAAGTGTGAGTTCATGAATAGTTAATCAATAATCTCAGTAGTTATTGACAAAAAATAAAAATAGAAAGTTTCATATGAAGAGTATCTGAATATTTATTAGATATTGATTTTTATTTCTTTTAAAAGAATTTAAATAACAATATTGCTGTCCATTTTAACTATTGAATTTATCTGTGAGCACGTTCTTCACGTAATTGGAATAGCCGCTTAATCGGGCCTGAGTACGGTAGCTCCTATTACCTGTCTCAAATTACTAGAATCTAGTGTGTATTGTTATTACAGCATTCTCACATAGCACAATTTAACATAAATAATTGTATGTTCTAGGTATGGTTGATTGCTTCGTACGTATTCCAAAAGAACAGGGATTCCTCAGTTACTGGCGTGGTAACTTAGCTAATGTCATTAGATATTTCCCCACCCAAGCTTTGAACTTTGCTTTCAAAGATAAGTACAAGCAAGTTTTCCTTGGTGGTGTTGACAAAAATACACAGTTTATGCGTTACTTCGTTGGAAATCTTGCTTCTGGTGGTGCTGCTGGTGCTACATCTTTGTGCTTTGTCTACCCTCTTGACTTTGCCAGAACTAGGTACTTTATATGTTTCTTTCTTTAACGTCTACCTCTTAATTCATATTATTAACTGAAACTTAGTAAAGATATATATTAAATTAACGTGTGTAATCATTATTCTAGGTTGGCTGCTGATGTAGGCAAAGCTGGAGGTGAACGTGAGTTTACCGGTCTTGGAAATTGCTTAACCAAAATTTTCAAGGCTGACGGAATTAGCGGATTATACCGTGGATTCGGTGTATCCGTCCAGGGTATCATTATTTATCGTGCAGCCTACTTTGGTTTCTATGACACTGCCCGTGGTATGCTGCCAGATCCTAAAAAGACACCATTCCTTGTTTCGTGGGGTATTGCTCAAGTAAGCAGTTGTCTTTATATTAGAATTCGTGATTACAGTCACAGTCCGTTTATTAACATTTTGCGTTCTTCTTTCGCAGGTCGTTACAACTGTCGCTGGTATTGTATCTTATCCATTTGACACAGTACGTAGGCGTATGATGATGCAGTCTGGCCGTGCCAAATCTGAAATTTTGTATAAGAGCACCCTTCACTGCTGGGCTACTATCTACAAGTCAGAAGGTGGTGGTGCTTTCTTCAAAGGAGCATTCTCTAACATTCTTCGTGGTACGGGTGGTGCGCTCGTATTAGTACTTTATGACGAAATTAAGAATCTCCTTTAAGACATTATAACAATCCTCACCTCATTACCTTCACAACTACAATTGCAAGTACCATCTTTATTATTCTCACCATCCGATATAAAAGCAGTTATCAGAACCGAGTGACTTCCAGACTGACACAGTATACAGACTGTCGAGAAATTCGAAAAAAACTTTCTGTTGGTAGCTCTTTGTGAAATGCATCAAACTCGACAGGATATGTATTTTAACTGTAGAAGAGAATTCGCTTAATTTATTGCCGAATTCAGTATTTTCTTGCAAGGATACACATGTGCTATTTTCATATTCCATTTTCGTAAGAAAAAAAAATAGAAAAGAGACGGATATATTCACAATATATCCAAGGAATCAAGGGTGTGTAACTAATCGCATAATGGATATGAAATATTTGATACATGTGATTATGTAGACGATGGTCGGGACATAATGTAGTGAAAGTAATTATCTAAACAAGAAAAAATTATAAAAGCAAATAAAAACAAAAGTATACAATTGAGCGAGAAGGACGCGCGACGAAATATCATTACGGCGATGGCGGGGCGCGTAGACATGGGCCGCCACCCCGCCCTAATTCTCGGCCCATTGTAGATAATTAATAAATGATCATACTAATGATATCAGATGAAGTTCGTCGAGTTTCAGTGAACAATAATTTAATTTCGCACTTCAGACAACTACGTGTAAGATAATGAGAAGCGTTACTTTGAGTGTATACATCCAATATGTTCATGTTAGGATGTATGCGGAAAAAACGAGAAAAATCAATAAAAGTGATATAAAATTCATTTATCGTGTTTATCTGAATCCCACTTAATCCAGAATATTTTCCCCCTTATTTTATCATTTTTAATATCTAATTCGTGATAGAGCATTGATTAATTTTGAGTAATTCATTGGGTTTTTACTAAAGAAGGAAAGATTATGTATACGAGATAACAGGGAATATTATACACATTTTTATATAATAAAATTGTATTTCAATGCACATTTATTACATGTAAATGAACTGTATCATTACAAACACGAATTTTTGTCATTAACCTGCTGATACAGCAAAGTAATCATTTTGGAAAGACATACTTCATTCAGATTTTAATTTAAATTCTGCTTAAATTTGAATCCTTTGAATGTTCATAAGAACACTTGTACTCTTTATATTAATACATTAGTTTACATAAAAATGAGATATATATTATTTTCATATAAAGCTACCCTTAAAATGAATGACTGAGATGTAATTGAACTTTGATGGCTATGCTTGATATTTACACAATACAAAAAGAGATCTGTGGAATCCTAGAAAGGAATGACAGAAAAACTTGGGACACAATATAAAATACATCTTATATACAGTATTTGAGCGTTGAGCTTAAGAACTGTATCATACAGTCATTCTATTCGAATCTCCTGCTATCATGTCTAAAATTCGACTTAGACCTGGCATATTTAAAATGGTACCTAACAGAGGTACTCTTCGTAAGAAGTTAATAGCTACCGGTAGAAAACCACTGTAACAAAAATATAATATTAATAATGGGGACTTTAATATACCATGCAAAATGCAAGTTTATGCTTTACAATAATACAAATTATGAATACATACCTGAACAATAATACAAAACCATATGTTTCTAATATCATGCCCACAATAGGCCAGCCCATAAGTACTATAATAATACCGCTTAAAAATGAAACACTGGCTTTTATTTTATGCTTCTGGAAAAAGAAGTTCAGTGTTCTCCTTGGTCCAATGACGCATGCTAATCCGGATATAAACAGAATCTGTATAAAAATGATTAGTTGACAGTAGCAGAGCAATACACGATACAAAAGCAAATTGAGACGCATATACAAATTGTTCTTACATTTCCGATAGCAAGAAGACCTTTGTCAAAAAGCAGTAAGACTCCAAGAAAAAGGAAAGATATTCCAAATCCAGCAAGCCCCACTCCAATTTCTAAAATTAGTTCCTTAGTATTATATGATGTTTTGAAGTACAGCTTACATTTTACACATCAACTTTATCAGCTTTCTTTTAATTTATAACACATTTTATGAGTAGCGATTTTTGGGTTACTTACTTTGTGTATCTGTGATTTCGAACATTATTTCGTAATTGTGTAACGCTAAACTTTTAAATTATTTTTACAATAATACTCGAATAAGATCTAGGTACGAAGTATAACGACGTGCATAACCTAACCTATATCCACGTCATTAATCGTGATGCGACACTTTTCAACTAAGCACTACTTTTCATCATCTTTTAAAAGGTGTACCTTGAATACTAAATATGCGCACCATTAGCAACATCAGTGAAATCTTTTATAAAATTTAGATATATTGAATATTTACTATAGAAAAATGAACGCCATTATACGCACACATATGTGAGTGTTTCTATACATGCACATAAGATTTAAGAGAGCTGTGTATAATTATATAGTATAGCCTAGGCAAGATATAGCGAGGTCGTAAAATTCAGTAACCAAAATGTTCAATAGTATTTGAAACAGTTCTCTAATAATTTTCTTTAAATAATTTTATTCTTAAGAAACATTTTTTAATTCTTAACATAATTCATATCTTGTATATCACTTATGCATATAAATTATACTTTAAAATATGTGTTTTACACATCTATTTACAAAGTAATTGTTCATCTTGGATAAAGGGACTGTACAAAATAAGTTTAGTTTTATTATCAAGTATGAATTTCTTATACAAACAGAATATTATACATAGTCAATTATAATGCTTAATCAGATGAGGGAATGATGATCTAATGGAAGAAATAATGACATTATTTTACAAACAGCAAAAAATGAATTCGATCATTAATTTTTAATATGGCTAAAACTTAAACCTATATACGACGTACAAAACATTATTTACAATTATTTCAAGGTACACAACGTTCCATTGAGCAATGGATTCAACACATCAGAGACGATCTAAGCCACTGAAAATAAAGGATTACTTAATACAATATTACAGTTTACATATAAATAATAAAAATTTTACAAACCTCGGTTAAACTTAATTTTATGGTTCCATTTTGTAAAGGGTCTTTACTTTCAAAAATACCTGCAACAAAATTGGGGATCAGAGGATTGTTATAAGATAAAGTAGGAAGGAAAAAGAATAAATAGTACCAAATGCATCGCTCAAATGCAATATTGCTGAGACAAAATCGCCAAATCTGAGTGTTCCATCTTTCCTCATGTATCGAAGTATCAAAATCGAAAGTACGTCCGTGTTTAATTGGAATCCTGAAATAAATATTTTTATGAAGCATCAATAATATTGAAAATTCATAAAGAAATTAACATCGACTTACCAACTTCTAACAATGCATCTCGTAACCGTTCTGCTTTAAGTATTCCAGTCTTTTCTTTCGTATGATTCTTGAACGCCGCTTGCCAATACTTTAAACTACACATGAGATCCTTGAAGTCGTTGAACTTCAATCGCCCGCTGCCCGAACTCTGTTTAATCCCGATGTAAGGAAAATCTCAAACAATAAAACTTATGCAAATAAACAATTTCAAGGATACATCCATCGTGAGGACCACTTGTCGACAGACTTCCATACAAGCGCAACTTTTTATGTAATCTGTAAACGTGGTAAAATATGACTTTACATTTTGTCAAATGATTTATCTTTGCAAAATAATTTACCATTAGGTAAACAGGCTTCTAGGAGTTCTTGTAACTCAAAAGCGTTGACCGTTCTGTGTTCGTCAGCCAGTTGCAAAAAAACAGCCTCGTACTGCGAGAAGCCTTTGCCTTCCAGGGGTGGTGCTTTGATGATGGCGGATTTTACCAAGGAGGGTGGTGTATCGAGGAGTCTAAAACAAACGAAGAGTATTAAAGAACAAAAATATTTCGAAGCAGAATTATGAGATATGTGAAGTTCTTACTTAAGTTTCAAAGGCTTACTGCTGTAGACTCGCAACGTGAAACTCGTTTCTTGAGTGGGCTCGAAGGTGGTCGGTACTAACAAATAACCACCCTGATCTAACTGACACCTGTGGCTCACCTGACGGCTGTTCGTGTACTGCGAGTTCATCAGGGACTTGTTCTTTTTGAAAAATTGCTTGTTTATCGATTCGGTGCTGTTCTTCGGCAACGTGTACGCCGTGAAACCGATCACTTTGATCTCCATGATGGAATGTTGGTACAAAGAGACGATCACTTCTTCCATTTCGCTCAGTATCAGATGCAGTTGCGGATTAATGTGGAAGGTTTCTGTAAAATACAGTGTGTAGGACTGGTGGTTATTGTGATCTTAACGGCCACGTTACGCATTACCGGATTTCCTGTGTAAAACGTTCATTATTGGAGTAAACCGCAAACGAACCTTCATTGTTTCGACATCCTCCCGCGGTCACGCCCCTCCTCCAGCTACCTTGATAGAGTTTCATTTGCCAGGTATGTTTACTATGCAACGATGGCTCGTCTCTCGATGTTTCGGCATCAAGATGTACGACTTCTAAGTGAGTGAACGTCTTCACGAAATCCGAGTAGGATATCCTACGATTTACACAATTTTTGTTAGTGAGGTTCTTTTGAGGTGATACGTCAGAATTTTTCATTACTGGTACAGTGGAGTTTCTGCATTTTTAGAGTTTTGGGAGAATTTGGGGGTTGAGGGTTTCTTGGAAATTTAGGGCTTTAGGGGTTTGGAGGGTTGGGAGCTTGGGACTTTGGAGGATTGGAGACTGGGAGATTGGGAGTTTGGGAGATTGGGAGAATGGAAGATTGGGAGATTGGGATTTTGGGAGAGTGGAATTTGGGGAGAATGGGATTTGGGGAGAGTAGGATTTGGGAAGAGTGGAATTTGGGCTTTGATCTCCATGATGGAATGTTGGTACAAAGAGACGATCACTTCTTCCATTTCGCTCAGTATCAGATGCAGTTGCGGATTAATGTGGAAGGTTTCTGTAAAATACAGTGTGTAGGACTGGTGGTTATTGTGATCTTAACGGCCACGTTACGCATTACCGGATTTCCTGTGTAAAACGTTCATTATTGGAGTAAACCGCAAACGAACCTTCATTGTTTCGACATCCTCCCGCGGTCACGCCCCTCCTCCAGCTACCTTGATAGAGTTTCATTTGCCAGGTATGTTTACTATGCAACGATGGCTCGTCTCTCGATGTTTCGGCATCAAGATGTACGACTTCTAAGTGAGTGAACGTCTTCACGAAATCCGAGTAGGATATCCTACGATTTACACAATTTTTGTTAGTGAGGTTCTTTTGAGGTGATACGTCAGAATTTTTCATTACTGGTACAGTGGAGTTTCTGCATTTTTAGAGTTTTGGGAGAATTTGGGGGTTGAGGGTTTCTTGGAAATTTAGGGCTTTAGGGGTTTGGAGGGTTGGGAGCTTGGGACTTTGGAGGATTGGAGACTGGGAGATTGGGAGTTTGGGAGATTGGGAGAATGGAAGATTGGGAGATTGGGATTTTGGGAGAGTGGAATTTGGGGAGAATGGGATTTGGGGAGAGTAGGATTTGGGAAGAGTGGAATTTGGGGAGAGTGGGATTTTGGGAGAGCGGGATTTTGAGAGAATGGGGTTTAGGGAGAGTGGAATTTGGAGAGAGTGGGATTTTGGGAGAGCGGGATTTTGAGAGAATGGGGTTTAGGGAGAGTGGAATTTGGAGAGAGTGGGATTTTGGGAGAGCGGGATTTTGAGAGAATGGGGTTTAGGGAGAGTGGAATTTGGAGAGAGTGGGATTTTGGGAGAGCGGGATTTTGAGAAAATGGGGTTTAGGGAGAGTGGAATTTGGAGAGAGTGGGATTTTGGGAGAGCGGGATTTTGAGAAAATGGGGTTTAGGGAGAGTGGAATTTGGAGAGAGTGGGATTTTGGGAGAGCGGGATTTTGAGAAAATGGGGTTTAGGGAGAGTGGAATTTGGAGAGAGTGGGATTTTGGGAGAGCGGGATTTTGAGAAAATGGGGTTTAGGGAGAGTGGAATTTGGAGAGAGTGGGATTTTGGGAGAGCGGGATTTTGAGAAAATGGGGTTTAGGGAGAGTGGAATTTGGAGAGAGTGGGATTTTGGGAGAGTGGAATTTTGAGAGAATGGGGTTTAGGGAGAGTGGAATTTTGAGAGAGTGGGATTTTGAGAGAGTGGAATTTTGAGAGAGTGGGATTTGGGGAGAGCGAAATTTGGGGAGAGTGGAATTTTGAAAGAGTGGGATTTGAGGAGAGTGGAATTTTGAAAGAGTGGGATTTGGCAAACTTGCGATCTTGGTATTTTACTCCATTAGAAACTTAAACTAAAATTTACGAGTATCACAATATTAACTGTACCAAAATTGTTTCTACAATTTATTGAATTTAGGAACCTTGAAATATCAGTAGACTCTTGATGTTACGGTTCGGAGTAAAATAACATTAATATTCATGTATGCCATTAAGAGTAAGGTAGACTATAGTAAAATTGAGATACCAGAATTCTCCTTCCGCCATGTTTCTGACCGCTAAACGTTCTCTTTCCATTGGTGGTACTTCATCCCATTCGAGGCCACCTCTCGCCCAAGCACCGACGTATTCTCTCCCAGGTCCAAGAGGATTTCTTAACTTCACCAACTGTACTGCTTCTCCATTGAATGTTTCTACCTGCATTTCACGATTCTTCGTTACAAAAATATCGATCGAAGATAACAGAAATCATCGATGATTTCTTCTCCTATTTACCCTCTCGATTGCGTATAGCCTGTAGTTGATGCCCATTTGAATTCCATTCGCGAGTTTCTCTGTGCTGGCACGAATCTGCGTTTCAAATAAAACAAAATTATAAAAAATTATGTATAAACGATGTAATTTGTAAAAAATGTGATTTTGTAAAAGAATGCAATGTGGTAATTTAATTGATACTGATTCTTAAATCATTTATTAATTTCACATAATAGGAGTATAACAATGGTCAGTGCACAATGATTACTAAATTAAATGTTTTACAATTGCAATTCCTATTGCCAATGATCGCTATTATTTTTTTATATTCACTACATTAATTGAAAACACTAAGCTGTGAGCGTCATTGTGTGTGCAGTTGTAATAAACTATAAGTTATAGATTATACATGTATTATACTCAAACCAGATCTCAGCAGGAAACAACTTTCTTTATCAAAATGTTGTAACTGCTTCCTTGATCAAAACCTGTTACGTTCAAAAGCTGTGCATGAGTGTAATAACATTTCCATTCATGTTTGCTAATATTAGTCTCTCTGTAAACCTCTTTTAAGAAAAAGCAATTTAAAAAAGGGCTAAATTACAACTCTTTTTACTTGCATTTTATAATTATTCATTGAGTAACTTTATTTAGTAATTGACTTTATTTATTGACTAACTTTATTTATTGACTGACTTTATTTATTAACTAACTTTATTTATTAGGTAACTTTATTCACTGACTGACTTTATTTATTAACTAACTTTGTTCGTTGACTAACTTTGTTCATTGACTAACTTTATTTATTGACTGACTTTATTTATCAAATAACTTCATTCATTGACTAACTTTATTTATTGACTGACTTTATTTATTAACTAACTTTGTTCATTGACTAATTTTATTCATTGACTAACTTTATTTATTGACTGACTTTATTTATTAAATAACTTTATTCATTGACTAATTTTATTCATTGACTAATTTTATTCATTGACTAATTTTATTCATTGACCAACTTTATTTATTAACTAACTTTATTTATTAGCTGACTTTATTCATCGACTAACTTTATTCATTAACTAACTGTATTTATTAATTGAGTTTATTTATTAACTAATTTTATTCATTGACTAACTTTGTTCATTGACTGACTTTATTTATTAACAGACTTTATTTACTGACTGACTATATATATTCTTACTTGTTGTTGATTATTATTAACTGTACACGTGATGAGAGAAGTCATGTCCAGCAGTTTGGCGAGAACTCTCCCGCAAGCAGTAGGATCCTGACGTATCGCGATACTTTCAGTGATTCCACCCGTGAGATCAGACAAGCCGTCCAGCAGAGTTCCATACTTCAAAGCTTCATACGAACCGTGAAGCCTGCAATAAATAAGAAAAGAGAATCAATTTCTCCGTTTTCCATCGACATTCCCCGGTGAAAGAGTCCCGAGTATCATCGTGCAGGGTCACAAGGTGCGCAGGAAATCATTCATCGGGTCTCAACAAGACGGTATTTCAAGACACGTAGAGAAAACTCGTAACATTTTTTCCCGCCTTTTTCGAATACCAGTCCGAGTTTCGAACGGCCAAGGGAAAGCAGATAGTTAGAATTTTTTCACCTATGACCTTCGGCGATTACTCGCGATTTCTAACGTGCATCGATTCTGCGAAGAAAGTCGTCGTTAATCTTCACGCAACGGGAGCTGTTTTTGACACAGAGGCTGCTTTGTTCTTGACACAAGCTGATTAAGCTGGTAGTTTTAGCTGGAAATCATCGCCGAGAAAGGTGAGATGCAGATACAACGAGAAGTGATAACCTGAGATATCATCTTACGTGCCTAGTTCCTGAATTACCATTCTTCGGGTAACGGGGACTCTTGTACAGTAGATTCTTGGTATATTGGAACTAGGAACTAGGTAGAGTAGGTATATTTATTAATTAAATTTCATTTATTCATAATTTGGAGTATCTCATTTTTCAAATTTGCAACTCACTTATATTCTCAATTTCATAACTTCTCGATAATTAATTTGCTACATCTCCAAAGTCCAAGCCTAAAAGTCCAATTCTCCAAGTGCCTAAAACCTTGAATCCCCAAGTGTCTAAGTACTTACATCCACAAATTTCTAATTCTGTAAGTGTCTAAATCCTTGATTTCCCAATTGTCCAAGTGCCTAAATATTCAAATTTCCAATTCTCCAAGTGTCTAAATCCTTGATTTCCCAATTGTGCAAGTGCCTAAATCTTCAAATGCCCAGTTCTCCAAGTGCCTAAACCTTCAAATACCCATTCTCCAAATGTCCAAAATTCTCCATATGCTAAATTCTTCAAGAGTCCAATTCCTCAAATGTCCAAATCTCCAAATACCCAATTCTCCAAATGCCCAATTCCTCAAATTTCCAAATCTTCAAATACCCATTCCCCAAACGCCGAATTCTCCAAATGCCAAATTTCCCAAATGTCCAATTCCCCAAATTCCGAACTCTCCAAATTCCCTATTTCCCAAATTCCCCATTCCCCCAATCCCACATTCTCCAAATTTCCCATTCCCTAAATCCCTCATTCCCTAAATCCCTCATTCCCTAAATCCCTCATTCCCTAAATTCCTCATTCCCTAAATCCCTCATTCCCTAAATTCCTCATTCCCTAAATCCCTCATTCCCTAAATTCCTCATTCCCTAAATCCCTCATTCCCTAAATTCCTCATTCCCTAAATCCCTCATTCCCTAAATTCCTCATTCCCTAAATCCCTCATTCCCTAAATTCCTCATTCCCTAAATCCCTCATTCCCTAAATTCCTCATTCCCTAAATCCCTCATTCCCTAAATTCCTCATTCCCTAAATCCCTCATTCCCTAAATTCCTCATTCCCTAAATCCCTCATTCCCTAAATTCCTCATTCCCTAAATCCCTCATTCCCTAAATTCCTCATTCCCTAAATCCCTCATTCCCTAAATTCCTCATTCCCTAAATCCCTCATTCCCTAAATCCCTCATTCCCTAAATCCCTCATTCCCTAAATCCCTCATTTCCCAAAATTCCCAAATCTCCCATTTCCCAAAATTCTCATTCCATAAATCCCTAAATCCCCCATTTCCTAAAATTCCCATCCCATAAACCCATAAATCTCCAAATTCCCAACTCCCTAAATTCCCAAGTTTCCAACCACATAAATCCTCAAACTCCCCAAATTACTAATTCCTCCTAAACCTTCTAATTCCTCGCCTTCCTAAACCCCAAATCCAAAAACACTCCACTCAGCAATAAAACGCCCAGTGCCATCTCTGCCCACATATTTCGCAACGAACCTCGAAAGAACGAACCTCACAAACATGATTCACCCGATCACCATTGAAATAGGAGAAATTTTCAGCAAGGTCCGCCAACGAGAAATCAGAATTCGGCATAGCTTATACGTCGGTATGTCGGGCTATATTCGGCCCGTCTGTATATTTGTGCACGCACATGCCAGAGAGCCACGAGTATGTAGGTATACTAAGCAAGTATATCCATGGATACTTTCACTCGGCGAGTAGTTGGTTCGTTGGTTGCCAGCAATGGATCGGAGGTCAGTGCACCGGTGACCACAGTCCATGCTCGTATCTGCGAATACGAAACTGCCGCGATATGGTGCCGTGTTAATGGCACACGAAAACGAGCCTCGTTAACAGTTCATCCACCTTATCCTTTGCTTCTTAACACGTCTTCGTTATGAGCCTGTCAGAATGACGCTATCTTGCGAATGATCAGGTTTAACAGGGACATTAGTCCAATGCGATGGTGCAATTTGGGGTCTTTTAGAGGGGAAGGGTGGATTATTTGAATGGTATTGAATAGACATTGTAGATAGGTTGAAAGTTGAGGAGATAGGTGGTAATATGTTTATTAGATTATTTTGGTTGAGACATGGTTTGGGTATATGATGGGAGGTTGCATAGAATCTTCAAATATTAGGGTTTCTATATTGTTCAGATTCTTTTGATGTGACAGTTGATTTTAGGTGGGTTATTATACATTTTTTGAGGAAGGTTGTAACGAGATGTTATGTGGTATAGTATGTGGATTTGGAGAGGCTTGCTGTTTTCAATTGGCTTTGTCAGTTGTTAAACTTCTCAAGCTCCTAGATTTCCAAATCCCTATATTACTAATTCTCACATCTCCGATTTCTCACGTGCTCTAATCTCTACGTCCCGAAATACCTAGGTCCCCAAATACCTACGTTCCCAAATCCTCACATCCCCAAATACTCACATTTCCAAATTTCCACGCCCCCAAATCCCTATACAACCCAAGTCACAACATCCCCAAATCCTTACATTCCCAAATCCTCACATCTCCAAATCCTCACATTCCCAACTCCTCACATTCCCAAATTCTCACATTCCCAACTCCTCACATCCCCGAATCCATACCTCCCCAAATTCTCACATCCCCAACTCCTCACATTTTCAAATCCTCACATTTCCAACTCCTCACATCCCCAAATCCTCACATCCCCAAATCCATACCTCCCCAAATTCTCACATCCCCAAATCCCTACGTCCCCAAATCCATACCTCCCCAATTTCTCACATCCCCAAATTCCTACGTCCCCAAATCCATACCTCCCCAAATTCTCACATCCCCAACTCCTCACATTTTCAAATCCTCACATTTCCAACTCCTCACATCCCCAAATCCTCACATCCCCAAATCCATACCTCCCCAAATTCTCACATCCCCAACTCCTCACATCCCTAAATCCATACCTCCCCAAATTCTCACATTCCCAAATCCTCACATCCCCAACTCCTCACATCCCCAACCCCTCACATCCCCAAATCCCTACCTCCCCAAATTCAGGAAAGGAAACATCTAAATTTGAAGAACACTTGCACAGTTAAGACCTAACACTTCACAAGAATACCTCACATTACAAATATCCGTAATTTCACAACAAAATGAGGAAACTATAATTTGTTTCTTAAAAGAATTTCACGGGCAATCAAATGGAAATGTTGCATTATTAACGTAGCGTAGGATTCATAGAAATGTGGAAGAATGTAAGCGGCATCGACAGGTAAAGATGGCGTTATGAAAAAAGCGCAAATGACACTGCATATCCGCATATGACTTCATCAGTCCGTTAGATGGACACAGGACGGAAGTACGTCAATGGCAAGACTCGTGTTACCGTTCGCTCACAAACTGACAACGGTAGTGTTACATAGTCAGCAGACTGTTACGGGTTCGTTCGAAGGTGCGGTGACCCTTGCAGTCACTTTCAAACATCTTTCATCTCGATCTTGAGATACGATTTTATTGCATCGTTTATAAACCTTGGGGAAAATCGTTGCGAAATAAATGTGGAAGTGTGAGAGCAACTTGACAATAAAATTTATATAAATAATAATAATAATCAACGTTACTGTTGTTAATACGTATTCCTACATTATTATCATAGTATAAGTCTTTGTATAAGTCTGTATGGTATAACTTTATATAAGTAATTCATGAATTAATGTACATCAATATAAATATGTTTGAATCATATTTCTCTACAGAAAAGAAGATAAGAAATTGTCTGACAAAATGGCGCAAATTTCTTGACAACAAAAGAGAATATATATTACATTGAAAAGATAATCTTTGTACACTGATCTAGTACAACTTGATTATTAGATTTCACTCCGTTCTACGTTTGATTAAAAGCTTTCAGCAAGTTACTATGCAATAACGCGGATAATAAATAATGTCCATTGACGTCAAACCGTTCACTTCCATCAGATCTGCGTCGGTCAGCGAAAGAGGTGAGAGCTGCTGGCTCGATCATTAAGGTAAGCGTACGCATTGGCGACCGTGCACCATTTGTATTTCCTGTATATTTCATTTTATTAAAAACAAATTTGTCAAAGTCTTCAAACATCGCAGTTGTAAATATTTTATAAACTATTTAAAAAAATGGGGCGCTATGCTAAAATGTCTTACTATGTTATTTGTTATCAAGTATAATTAGACAAACAAGTACGTAATAAATTAATAGACACATATATATGTATTATTAAAGTTATTAGTTTCATAAAGAAAATACATCTTTAGTCCTCCGTTGACTTATTTCAAGTTACTCCACTTTTGAATCAACGTCAGGCGTAGCCACTTCCGAGTAGTACTCTTTCCACGAGGTAATTACAGAACAGGCGAAATCCGAAGGCCATACGAGACACAATTGGAAAATGGAGCCGCTCTCCTGTCGACTTACGCTCGCCTTCCTTGAGAAAATACCCATGCAACTGGCCCAGGCTATCGTGCGTGTGAATGGTTACGGTTTAGAGATTAACTTACGCACGCTTGCACTCCTGAGACCTTTAAAGCTCGCGAATGAACGTCCTTTTTTGCGTATGC